TCAACGGTTGAAGTATGCTCCACATAAGTGCATGATTTACTTCTAGTAGAATTATTAGTGAATCACTAAAAGTGACAATTACCATCTGCGCATTTTGCGAGCTAAGAATCAAGCGCAAGCATGATAAAAGCTTCCAGCCAAGACGGAAAATGCAACATGTCACTTATCTTTTCATATGCTGTGAGTGGTGGTGCAAGTCTGAATCATAGGTGTATAATGATATTGATAATCACCAAACTGGTTGATGATGGTAGTCTTGCCGCTATCAAGTTATATGATGATAAAACTCCTCACCTCAGGAGTTCGTGTAGATGATGTGAGAGCGACACCACAAGCCGAGTTGGGACGGCGATAAAAGTATATCTTCCCATTACTGTCTTGCATTCATGCGATACAGCTTTTTGTATCGTTGATAAAAGCCAATGCTCGGATTCGAGTCCAAGATTTTCTAGTATCTTTCTGATGGCACTAAGTTTTATCTCGGAGAAAATTGGAATATTGGTTGGGATGATATCTAAAATACAAGTTATTCATCACTACGGTCGATTTTGATATGGTAAATAAGTGATTTCCTTCTTGACGATACAACTAATTAGTTAGGAATGTAGAAGGTTGAAGCAGTGACTAGAGAGTTGTATAGAGGATAATACATAAGCTTCCAAATACGACTTTCCACATTTAGCAAGTACCTGAGAGTATTTGGATAAGCCGGTCACATCTGGATTCCAAGAGATATCGAGCAGCTAGTGATTAGATCACAACTGTGAGAATATGGCAGTACCAATATACAATAGCAAATCGACGATAAAAACAAGAATAAAGACAGCAAGTATATTTTTATTCCCAGAAGGGATGTCCATCCACCATTTCACAATACAAAATTCTCTCCTTTTGATCCCTCACACCACATCTCATGGGGTCTGAAAGAAGCTGTTCTTGTTATGTATGTCAGGAAATATGAATCTCATCCCAGCTTGACCAGTTTTAAATCATCGAGGTAAGTAAGTTGGAAGCGAGAACCACTGCTACTATGTAAATGAACTCCGCATTTGGCCCAAGACAGAGGCCCCCAGTCCTCGAAACTTATGTCGGCTTTGAACAAACGCCACCGTGTGGCTACACAGAAGACTTAGATATGCATGTGTGATCGCGGGAATCGCGTGGGATCATATCTCCTGCGGACATCCAGTGTTCTCTACAAGGGTCTTCTCGACAAAGTAATTGTCCACGATCTAGAGACCAAAATATGATATTTCTCATTACCGGGGACTTTTATGAATTATTGACACAGCCAGAAATGAGTATTGAGCTTGCTACTCCGACCAGCACGCCAGATGATTCGAGTTCAATAGGTGGTACTCTTTGAAACTCTCCATGCTCGGAAGAGAATAGAATTCTAGAAATCAAAATCACCATCGTTATGGATTCACTTTTGAAGCCCCTCTTATCTTGAATAGGTAATCTATACCCCAGAATTTCTGCTCATTATTCATACACCATAACTTGAAAAAAAAAAAAACGATCTTATAAAATCTGGTATCCTGCCCTCATTTTCCTGTTCCTTCCTCCCTAACAACCAACCCAACCCAACCCAACCGAAAGTGAAATAAAATGAAATAAAATATCTAATAAAACTACAAAGTATCTTTGTTCAGCGTTCACTATACTACGAGACGCTCAATCAATAAGCCTTCCCAATCGAAAATCTAAAAGGTCCCTTCCCTTTCCCTTTCCCAGGCTTCGCCCCCTTCTTACTCGCACCCCCATCATACACACTCGGACTCAGCGTCATAATACTCGTATCACTATTCGTATACGTATGCGTTGGTCTCGTTACGGCCGCGGGGTTTGATTTCGATAACGGCGGGGGTCTCTCATCCAGCGTGAAGATAATTTCCTCTCCTTCCTCTAAATCTCTCTCGGTTATTTCTCTCGACGAATTTCGCGTGTTATCTTTTGAGTAGTCTTTCGTTTCGTAAGAGGAAGAAGCAAAAGAGGAAGAAACCTGCGATTGTCGATATGAAGGCATTATGCTTCTCAATCTCTCGCCGATCCCCATACTCACAATACTCCTCGCGCCGCTTCCTCTCCTTTCTCCCGCCTTCTGAGGTAAATTTCTAGGAGTGAATAGAACACTAATACTCTTACTACTCCTGCTTAATCCACTCTCACTTGCTCGGAAAGATCGTTCTCTGTCTCTTCGCTCTAATTCCGCTTCGGCCATTTTCATCTGGTAATCCATTTCTGCGATCTCTTTTTCAATGTCGATGATATCGTGTGTGGAATAATTATCTTCATCGCCTCTTTCATAATTTCCTTCTACATAATCTCTGTTGATGACTTCTTCTTCCGGGCTGGGAGTATATTGTGAGATATATTTCTCGTTCGGGGGTGAGGTGGAGACTGAGGGGTGTTGAGTAGCGGGATAATTGTATGATGGCCCCAGATTTGGAGCTCTATAACTTCTTGAACCCTTTTCCATTCCTCCAGCACCATAGTATCCATGTTGATTCCTACTCTGTGCATCTCTCATATCATCCTCGTTTTCCTTTTCCTTCTTTATCCTCCTCTTGGAAATAAATCGATAAACCAAAACACTCACAACACTACTCGCGAAACTCGTTCCAAGAATCAATACGACCGCAACCGTCATCGGCAAAGTCGTCGCCCTCGAGAACTGCACCGCCGACGTTGCATCAGCCAATTGACTAGAGATAGCCCACGCACTCTCCGTCGCCGCAGCACCTTTAGCTAATGCCGCTGCTTGAGCACTATATGTTGCCAGAGCTGCCGCAGAAATAAGAGATGCCGATACTGCTGCGAGCTCTGAGCTGGCGCTTGCTTGGGCGTTTATCACTTCCGAACTCGCGCTTGCTAATGCTGCCGAGGCGGATGATTGAACCAAGGCGATGGCACTAGAGGCACTGGCATCAGCCGCGAAGATGCTGGCTTGTGCAATGGAGATACTGTTTGCAGCGGCTGTGCTAAGAAATATTAGTTGGTCGGAAACGTTTGATGCGACGTTTGAGGAGACAGCGCTGGAGACAACGCTGGAGGCTGAGAGGATGTAGCGATTGCATTCTGGAAGGATTGTGAGAATGCCTGCAATTTGAGCGAGTTTAAGACCCGGCGGTGTTGTAACTTCGGGTTGAGTTGGAGAAGTAGGTGATGATGTGACGGTTTGAAGAGTTGTTGAAGCTGTAGATATTGGGGCGGGTTGTGGGGTTCGTCGAAGAATAGAAGCATTGCATAGTCCTGTTCCTGTCGCGAAGACTAAGAGGGAAAATTGAGTAAGGTGCATGACGCCCTCGAGTGGTCTGAATTGTCAGTCAGTATTGATACTCCAACATTTTGACGTGAGGATAGAACAGGAATGAGATCTTACGTTGGTATACTAAGATTCAACTACATATGTGACCAGCACCATTCCAATCCATCTAATCTAATCCACTCATTAATTCCTTTTTTCTGTCCCGCAGTTCTCGATTTCAATACTCCATTAACATGTATACCATCCATCAAAATATCACAACCACATCAACCAAAGTGACAGAAATCGCGGGGGGAGGACAAAGCATACAGTAGTTGAGGCCGCGTTCAACCTCCACACCTACGAGTAATTCTTTCGACATGCATAACGTACACGGTTGGATTTTCCTACCCGCGATCTTCTAAGGCTAGATCGCGCGTTTCACACCAACGGTATTCACAGAATTTGCCTTGTCAAATGGTTGCAAAAATGCAAATATGCAATGGTGATGTGAGAATTTCGCATCGTGGTTACCACTAGTCTGTGCGCGAAGTGTTTGGGAATATCATCCAATCGGGACTCGGGATAGAATCTGATGAAGAACTATCTCATATGATTATAATTCGTTTATATCTTGTATCAAGCCTACTTTTCATGATTATCGAGGAAACCATCATTGAGAGCTCGTTGTGGACCTTGGAAAGAAGACTTCACTAGAAGTAAAATTCCCATCGCTCAAAATGACAAAATCCAAGCAAACAAATATTCAGAATCTTTGCAACCAAACCCCAACCCAAGTTTTAGCCTATTACGAACCTTAATCCCCAACCAGTTCCCAATCCACATTTCTTTTCTCCTTATGCACAATAAAGTCACAATGGATGTATGAAGTTTCGGGGTCAAGGTTCACAAAGGAAGTAGAAACACGCACGGAACTCACTAGTGCGACGTTGTCTCATCGCGAAGCGAATCATCATGTCCAAGCCCCTGGGACTAGGCTAAACCACAAACCCAGTAATCATTCGATGTTCCTTTACTACTTATGGAAAGAAAGTTGAGTTTCTTTCTCGGATTATTGTGCCGATATTCTTCTTGCTTTCTTGGGATGGAGAGACATGTGAACTCCATAGTGAACAAGATTGGATAAATACTTTACCTGCCCAGTTGCTTGACGGATTTTAATTGCATGATTTGAAAAGCTTAGGGTATCCCTTATTCCATTATTTCAAAATGAATTTGAGAGTTGGGTAAGGGTGGAAGTGCGTTCTTCGATTGCCAAGGAGGCCTTAAGATCGCGTTGTCGCCGCAGTCTTTGTCTGAAGTGTTTACAGTCATCTCACATCTGCACAGCCCCTAATGATGGTAGTAATGATATGCATTATATCTATCTATCTTGTAAGTTCTTGACTAAATTCATTGAGAAGAGTCTGCGATTGTGATAGTAGTAACACTATGTATGTATCGTCTCTCCTGGAACTTTAACGCGCATTAAAACTCACTGAGAAAAGCCATCGATTGCAATAGTGATAATACCATGCATTATCTCTCCTAATACTTCAAATGACACTAAAACCCACCAAAAAAAGTTCATCAGTCAAAGTGGTGATAATAGGTAAAATCCGTATCTCTATTAAAACCCTTCCAAAAATCCAACGAAAAAAAGTCATGCAGGAGTTTCGATCTCCGAATAACAGTGCACTTGTAGCAATAGCAGAAAGCAGAGATGTGAAGCAAATTATATGATAGTGGCTTACTCCTCTCGGGGCCTCTTCAATGAATTTGACAGGCTCATTCCTAATGCTTTTGTCAAATCCGTTTGTTTCAAAGACCTCACTGGCTCTTGAGGTTGATTGCGCCCCTTCAACTCTTCTTTGATATTTGGCTCCAATAAATGTTTAACATCATTCGAAGCTCTCAGCTGAAATGACTGCATTCCATTTGCGGTAGCGGACATCCCATCCGCTGCCTCAGATGATACGATTGGTGGATGTGAATGTTTCACGTCCTCCGAAATAGCGGGATTACGTGTTGCCCCCGAAGACATTGGAAGATCTACATCTTTCGATTCCTTCGGTTCCTGCAAAATATCTGGTTCTTTTGGTGCCGGTCCAACATCGGTCTTCTTGAAATTTTCCGCTTGTTTTGATTTCTTCGGCTTTTTCGCCTCCTTCGATTTCTCGGCAGCAGGTCCACGTCTTCTACCATGTCGAGGAATACCATTTTCATTCTTCGTATGCCAGCGACAGTCTTCCCCATGGTGATCATTACCTCGTTTCCTTATGATACTCCAATCTGCATAACAAGAATAGCAGAATGTGAAGTTGCAATAATCACCTATTATCCAATCAGCCATATGCTCAGTTTGGGGTATTCGAATGTGCAGCAAGGTGGTATATAAGGTAAACTCACATCTCACTCTATCGCAGCCATGTTCCAATTCTATTCTCATATGACAATTCGGATTTGGACAAACCTTGGCGTTCTCTGCAATGAATGCTGCAGAACTCGCTTCGTCACGAACTCGGTCTTGATTGGAAATGTCGAATTCTGCGCATGTCAAATCGTTGTGCCATGGAAGTTTGTGAGCTGCACATGTCTTGAAACCACATGTGGAACATGTCATCATTGGTTGATCGGGTTCTGTGTGTATCTGACCTGAGTCGCAGCTAGGATTACCAACACACCATGTGAAGTTTGAATGGCTTTGAAGAGACATGATGAATTCTTTTCTGCGAACTCTGGCAGATAAATTAGTTATTGCAGCCAGAGCGAAGAAAAATGAAATTACCTTTTCAAAATCTCAGGCGATGCATACTGCTCTATCTCTGCATCAGAAAATTTTTCCGGGCACCCAGGGCATGAAATTTGATCTAATGCCTTCGTCTGAATATGATAATTGAGATGATCAGTCACGCAATGACTGCAAATCGTTGGATCATGTGCACATGTGCTCGTTATACGAGTTTGTGGGAATTTCTCCGGTGCTAGCTTTTCCAAGCAAACCGTACATTTATCAACTGCGGCGAAGATGATATCATCATTAGTTTCTTCAAGCTTCACCTTTTTGGCCGCCGGTCCATCAACTCTTCTTGGTGCGATCTCTGGCTAGAGTAGCAAATCAATAAAGGACTTTGTAACATTGACATTATATAAGTCCTCGAATCAAATGGGAACAAATACCTTCCAAGCATCATTCAACAAAGCTGCCAAAGCTCTAAAACTACGTTCACCAGCGAACCATTTGACAAGTGCTTCCTTTTCCCTCTCTCCGATAGATCTCTCGAGTTCGATAAGTTTAAGAAGAGTGTCCTTTTTCTTATCGCTACTCTTTACTTGAACGTGAAAACGACCAAGTGGAATTTTCATGAAGGCTTTCGAATGCTTGGAAGGGGAGCAGCCAAATATTAAACCAGGAAGGTCTGGATAATTGGGGTCTTTTGGAATATCCATTGTTTCGAAATCTCTGCAACAAAAAGGAAGAGTTACTGCTGGATAGTGCAGGTGAAGCTTCAGTGTAAGAACGACGACGACTAATGATGTGAGAGTAAGTCAAAGAATCTAAGAGCGCGTTTGTATTTAAGTAAAGGATAAAGTGTCGAAGGAGACAAGCGATAATGTGAATGGAGACAGAGTAGAGAACTTGTTGAAGAAGTATCTGCAGATATGAGTGAATATATAGAGGGGTCATGGTCATCTACGATCACATTCTTCAAATGCCTCATGCAGTCTGCCGCTGCTGGAGGGTTGAGGTGAGAAAATTGGGTATAGTATGCCTTCCAAAACTCAACAGATCCCGTACATTACCAGCGACTTTTGTGGATAAAGAAAAAGAGGGTGAAAAGGAAGGTCACATTGCAGCCCTATAAGCTGGCGAGTGAATGATATATCTGAAGTTTAAGACATATCACATATATTTCGTCAGCAAAAAAAGAAACCAATCTTCAGCACAAACGATCCTCGAAAGCTTTTCGAGTCCACTGCCCCGGGGCAGAGCAATTCACCTCTAACAACATATTCATAGATGAAAGCCAAGATATCAAAGAATGATGTCAAGGTCTAAAAATGCAAACTTCCGTTTACCATTTTACACATGCTTTTCAAGAGACAAAAAATTATGGCGCAAAGCTCAAGCAGACACTTTCCGATTTCCACATCAACTGGGCTTAATCACCTCACGTCACTTGACAATTCAATGGAGAGAAGAAGATAACAACGATGAAAATGTCGGCGATCACTCTAGTGTCGACGACGACGAGTGTAGAGTCGTGACTTTCGACTTCTAAGCGAAAACAACAGCAGCAGCAATAGCAATTAAAAATACCAACAACAACCTTCGAATGAATAATAATTCACTCTCATTTCTACTTACTCATCGATCGGACTTCTCAATGGAATACAATAGATACCATTGATCTATCCGTTTGCTTGACAACAAATATGCATCCAAGAACAATAAATCCAAACAAAACAACAGCAAGCAAACGAACGGAAGAAATTAAGCAAACCCAACACCTCGATTATACCATCCAAGACTCGTTAAAACCCACAAACAAAAGAAATAAGGCAAGCACGTCCGTACAATACGAATAGTTCTAGAGGGCCACTTTATTGAAAAATTTGAAGGATATTCCGTTTGTCATGATGTTATCTTGATATTAAATAATTGGCCAGATTATGAATTTGATAGAAGTAGAGTTACACAAGAAAAAAAGGAAAGAAAAGGTTGGCTGTACAATCACTCGATCTTCAATCTTAGCGGCCGAGCCGAATACGCCACCTGGCTAATCCGACTGTGAATCAAACGGTCGACTCTGAATAGGTACCAGTACCTACCTGGCAGGTCTCTGTTTCTTTTCATTCGTTACGTCTTCTACGTGAGTGGGTAGGGAATCTTACTTTGTATTTGATGCTTAACTAGACTTCCTTTCATCCCCCCTTCTTCATATGTATCATAACATACAACATCATCATTCATCATTCCGATTCCGCAGATGCATTGCAATGCAATGCCTAGGTTATGCTATTACCTAAAAACAAAGAGGACCTATTCCTTGCCTTTCCTTGGATATCCTACTTCATCTCACTAACCCTCAACATATCAAAACTCTCTCCACTCTCACTTCCCTCTCCTTCATCCTCCTCATCTTTAAATCCCCCAACCACACCCTCAACCAAGATACCCCCCTTTCTAAACCTCTTTCTTCCAGTTTCCACCTCTTCAAGTGCTAGTCTAGGTCCATTGCCCAAAATGAATCTTCTATGCCATTCTCCTACAAACATGCCTTCTGGATCCGCATCATTTCTGATCCTTCTCCAGCTCTCCAAATCCTCTCCATACATCTCTTCAATATCTTCGCCTGTGGTTTCGAAATTCTTAGCCCAATGAGGTTTGCCTCCTAATTCTCGCATCAAAAACTCAAATCCTTGGTAATATCTTGCATGGCATGGTGGATCCATGTCATATGGACGGTAGAGAGTTGCGTTGAGGTAGAGAGTTGCTTCTTCTGTACATGTAGGATCGAGATGTGGACGAGGGGTAAGAGTATTGCTTGTTTCTGTGACACGAACTTCAACAGGTGCGTGAACGTATAGACCTTCTGCTGAATAAGGAATGCCATGCGCAACGTAATCTGGATCATCTGGGGTAAGATGATTAAGCCACGAACTTAGTCTCTTTAAAGCTTCTGGACCTTTGGAAATTGGAATTGCCCATTCGTTGACGAATTGCGAGTAAAGACAATTCATAAGAAGTGCTTGACGAGATGGTTGAATGGCGGAACTCTTGGAACCATTTGCAAATCCATATTGCATACCAAAGACAAACCATTCTACCCATGGAAGAATACGTGGAACGTAATGTCCTAGAGCAAGAAGATTATGATAGACGTGATATCCTAACCAAGCATCATAATAAGATTTTGGAGGAGGCATGGGGGCCAAATCTGTCTTTTCAGCAGCCCAAACAACTGCTCTTCTCGTATAAGGAAACCACCAGACTCGAACAAATTCGGTTTGTGTCCAAAGAATTTTATCCCAATTATTCATCATTCGAAGATCGGTATCCACTGTTTGTTCCCATGAAAGGGTGAAAGCTGGTACGGCTTGGAAAGTAATTTCTGTAATGATACCGATTGCTCCCAAAGAAATGAGAGAAGCGCGAAAGAGTTCCTCATTTTCATCTGGTGAACAAGTTTCCGTTCTACCATTCGAGAGAGTAATCTTCAATGCCAAAATTGAACTCGACAAGATACCATGTCGTAAAGTACTTCCATGAGTTCCTGTCGAAATTGCCCCAGCAATCGATTGATGATTGATGCTACCCAAATTGGGCATCGCCAAACCGACAGCATCAAGTTGTTCACCCACGGAATATAATCGAATGCCACTTTGCATAACCACCACACCTGTTTCCCGATCCGCAGATAGAATTTTATTGAAATTATCCAGATTAATGAGCCAGCTCGATGTGCAAGTAATATTTGAAGGAGAATGGCCACATCCTACAGTGGTAATTCTGCGTCGACATCTTCGCGCAAGGTTGACCACCTTTTCGACTTCGGCGATAGATTGTGGTTGAATGAATAATTCAGGAGATGAATGAAATGTTCTTGCCCACGTTGATTGTGTATGATTTGTTACGGCGCGAAATGGAATATCGTCGCCATATTTTTCCAATTCGGATTTGATTGCGGGGTCCATCTTTGCGCCCAGATCGACCTAGGTTTATTATTATTTCTTTAAATGCTGTCAGTGAGTTGTAGATGGATTTTATTAGAATGTTGATTAAAACTTACTAGGTAATCTCACTCGATACCTAGGTATATAAGTTGAGTTGTGAGAAATATTATATTCTCATCTGATAGTCCAGAGAGAAGTGAAGGAAAGGAAAGATTCTTCCATTTTTGTCGCCTCTTATCTTCGAAGGAGGATTGATACTTTATTTTTATTTTTAGGCGGGGTGGTTTGGAGGATGAAACTAAAATGGCTGTAGATGATGAGTACATAAAATAATAAAAATAAGCCGACGCCGACAATACAGTAATACCGACTGATAATTACGTCCAATAGTTACAAAATCCCAGTGAGATCTTTCAATGGTCTGATGAAAGTAGACCACGAATGGGCTCATCATTTACAATCATCGACCAAAGACCAACGAATATACACGGAAGTCATTGGAATGATTGATATATATATATGAGGGTGGTTCATTAGTATGTGGGCTATATCATTCTATGAGCCACTTTAAAAATGTATATTTTAATAATTAATTATTATTTTTTAAAAGGAAAAATTATAAAAGAAAAAATACGTTTTAGTTTGAAATTGTTATACTTTATATTACAAAAACTCTTTTTCTTTAATAACTTTAATAATAATTAAAAATAATTGAAAAATTAGGTTTTGTATAGGAAATTTTCGAGTAATTTAATTAGTTAATAAAGGAAGTATATAATGAGTTATATATAGACGAATTTTAAATATAAAATGGAGTAGTCTAACGTGGTTTATTAGTGAGTGGGTCATATTAGTGGATGGGTCACCCATTTTACATACAAAATTCGTCTGTGCGTAACCGTGCACTTTCTTTATCTGATAATATAATTTGAAAAAATCTGAAAATATTGAAATTCAACTATATAAATATTATAAAAATTTAATCATTTATTAAAAATTTGAATTATTATAGTTATTATAAAAATAATTTTTTTGTAACGAAAATCGTGACAATTTTCACTTTTTTTAGAATATAATATAAATATTTATATAAAGAATAGATTTATAAAAAGTTGATTTTTTATTATTATTGAAAATTCTTTTCTTTTTTTAAAATAATAATTAGTTATTAAAATAAGAATATTTAAAAATACCTAATTTTGATGTATTTTCAAATGACCCATTCACTAATATGACCTACTCACTGATAAACCACGTTATATAATAATATGACTTATATACTAATGAACTACGTTATACATATATAAATATATATACGAATACATATACATATACATATAACATATACTGAGTAATATTATAGATGAATGGTTTGTTTATTTGTTCCTGTTGATCTACTATCACCATCTCTATCAATCTACTAAATACCATGCCAGCCAGATTGGATCTAGACAATTGAATGACGCTCCGCTGGCCCTTCGGGGACCACTGCCGTGGAGGCAGACTATCTGGAATGGGAATCTTCATTACTTCTTTATATCTTTTAAATTTTAAATTTCGAGCGCAGCGAGCTATGGGGGTTTGGGGGCTTGCCCCCATCAATAAACTCAGAATATGAATACAGTTACTCTGGATACATGAAGAGACTACGAACGATAAAGTTTCTACAAAATCTCGAAATTCATTCGATTTTGCTCGTAGCAAGGATATACATGGACAATTAATATACAAGTCATATCATTTATCATTCCGAATATGCAAGGCGACCTGTC